TCTCTCTCTCTCTCTCTCTCTCTCTCTCTCTCTCTCTCTCTCTCTACATATATGTATATATATGTATATATATATAGTTGGATAGTGATGCATGTGCATATTCTCTTGCAAGAAATGCTTTATTCTTTTTTAATTGAATGCATCTCTTTGATCTTTGAAGTATCCAATTCTCATGTAGTTTGTGTACCACAATGAGAATCTCCAAGTACAACAAGTAGATCACAGGAAGAATTAGGTTCTTGCAAGATGGCACATTAATTTTCATCAAGAAACTGAAGAGAAAACAAAGATAAAGGCACTGATGCTGCTACTCCTTTTGGAATAGAGACTTGAGGAAATATGAGTGATAGTGATGCTTTTAGGATGACATATGGAGGATGTTAGGACACATCTTTCAAGTAATAATCAATTGTAGTTAATGAGGACAGCTATATATTATTGTAAATGAGAAAAATGCTTTTGAAGTACTTGTAAATCATGTTGATTAATAAATTTTGTGATTCCACATAAGATTCTCCTTGATTTTCCTCTGTACATATGAGATAGGCCAAGAGATTGTTTATCCACATCAATCTACAAGATCTTGCAAGTCAAAGTATTTTAATATCTATAGTTAGATTACCTAATCCTTGTTTGCCATCAACTTGTTGATCTTTCATTAGTGGAAGTGGTGTTTCATGTTACATGGTGTATGTCATCAACCTGTTGATCTTTGGTTCATCTTAACCCATAATAACCAATGTAAACTACATCACCTGGCATTTAAAGATTGAAACACTTCCATGCACATATCCCATGCATGTCTAGTGTTTGGGATGAACTGAGATTTAGTAGAGCTAAATAAAATTTTGGAATTTAAAGGTAGCAAGAATATATGTTTTATGCCAAATTAGTGATAAAAAGATTCAACATAACGAGTTGCAAAGATAAAATAAATGATCATAGCAATGGTGGGTTGTCAGCTTAGTCATACCAAAGGAATGATGAGATGAACATATTATTTTTAGTTCATACACTATGTGGCTTCAGTGTGAAGGAAAGAGTAGAGAGATGCAAGGATTACTATTGTAGAACACAACTTGACCAAAAAGGGCCACACTAAGAACATTGCATGTTGCCTCTAACAAAACTTACTTGGCATCAAATATAACAAGAAGAAAATATATCGATGGGTGAAAAAGTATTATGATTGACATGATATTAGACATGCTATGAATAATTAGAACATTGGAATTGTCACTCTAATGAAATGTTATTGTGTACTATGATATTTGAAGATTACAATTGTAAGTACAGCACAACTCAAACCTCTCACTAAACAGGATCATGTTAGGTCTTTCAGCAGCTATCGGATCAAGATTTTTGTGACAGAGAACCATGAGATGCCTAATGCTCAAGTGTGGTGGTCAGGCATGCACTGCAGAGAGCTGTAGGCAATAGGATGACTCCTGTGCAGTGATAGAGATCTGAGAGAGAGAGAGAGGAGGCACTGTGTTTCTCTTCGTCTCCCCCATCTTTAATCATGAGCGCTTGTGCCATTGGCAATGCAGCAACTGCAGCTCCTTGGCCTTCAGCTCTGTGTGAGCTCCCACAACATGGTTCTTCTCTCCAGGGCACCAGTGGTGTATGTGCATGGCAGCCAGGACCGCAAGTAACTGTTCTCCTTGAGCTTGTGAGAACTGCATGCGACAGTTCTTCCACTCCATGATCTCGCTGTTTCATCCACGTATTCATACTCTTCTACTACCTTCAGAAGCTGAACACTCTATCCACCCAACTCAACACAACAGTGAAATTTGTTTTCTACAGCATTGTGATTACGTGACATATAGGACCGAATCATTCGAATGCAGTGCTGCGCATCTGTTACTCATGGAAATGTCAGAGATACAAAGAGAGAGAGAGAGAGAGAGAGAGAGAGAGGGAGTCAATGCTACACTGTGCAGTGAGGGCAGATCTCTCAAGGCATGGAAGAACACTTGCAGAGGAAGGTAACACTCATTATTTCTCACTGATACTTCCCCATCCATCGAATCCAGACATCAAGCTCCTCATGGCACACAAAACTTGGGGAGCTTCGTGCATGAGTACGAGCATGAGCAGGCCACATGCAAGCCTAAAACCTAATGCCATGGAGAGATGTCATTGCAGCTTGAGTCGATCAGCTACTTTACATGTTGTTTATTTCTCCCAAGTCCCTACCCCTATAGTCCTAACATGTACGGCCAATCCACCCTCATGTGCACCCTAATGTTCCCATTTGTGGGAGCTTAAACAAGATTAAACCCATCCTCCTTGGGAGTCGCCAAGGATTCTCTCTCCCTCCCTCCCTCCCTCTCACATGACTATAATAATATCATTAATTGTTTGCATCGGAGTCGTCGATCTTGACTCCCGATTCCGATACAGTATGCTTGGTTGTCGCTTGATGATCGGACCATCGTAAATACGAGATTCGGACGGCCATTTATCGCATCGAGATGTGTGTTTTGATAGCATCGAGGAATGATTGCCGGAGGAGAAGAGGCCAAAGGAAGGGATGATGAGATCGGGAAGAGTGAGTTGAAGCAGGTGGGTGGATGAGCTCGTGGATTGATGGATAAAAAGAGGTGCTTCGGGCACATATCAATGCCAAGTAGGCTCGGTGTGGGTTAATTACTACCTTCCATGCGTGACGCTTGTCTAATTCTGGTTCGTCGGATGCGGACACGTTTCGCGATTTGGGTGGTCACGATCTGAACCACCACGATTTTAACGAAATGCTTTTTCTTTTTTTGTTTTTGTTTTACATTTTCACCATAAAATTTGGCAAATATCTTTGATAATTTTAGCTAATCTACTTTGGAAAATGTGTGAATGATAATAATTAAAATCCTCATCTCTTTATATACAATACAAAAAAGATAATAATTAAAATAAACCTACTAATTAATAATAATTTTGAAAAAATAATTTTGAATTTGCTTCTCAATTATCTTTTCTTTTTATTAAATATAATAATTAAAAATCTCAATGATAACCCAATGAAAGTATCGATCATTTTAGACGTGATTGAGCTTAAGATTGTCATCATTTTCTTTGGATAATAATAGGTTCGTTATTATTATCGAAAAATAATCTAATAAAAAGTAAAATTAAATTTGCATTCTATACGTGTAATTGAAGGAGGATTTTTACATAGTTTACGAATAATAATTGACATCCTTTAACGGTAGAACAATATAATTCGAAGTGTCGTGGAGTTGATATACATCACGAATCTTGACGCATACATTTCACGCTAACATATATATAACGACTATATCTATTTAATTTGTTATTTTCCTGCTTTGTTCGGATTCAAATCCGATATCGCTGTTATCGGGTGCTATTCGTGTCAAAGTAGGATCCGTACCCGATCAGCAAATACCACCGCACCCGCTTATTCTCCAAAAAAAAAAAAGAGGGAAAAAGGTCGCTCTTTTACGACCCTTAAAGCGTCCTGCGGCGGCGACGGCGACGGCGACGGCGGCAGCGGTGGTGGAGGAAGTGAGAAACCCTAGTCCTGTTTATGCTGTGTGTTCTATGTACTAATTGTGATGTCTTTGCGTGTTACAGGAAAGAGAGGCTTATTTCCTCCTCGTTCTCCGTGTTGCTTCCCCTGCTGGAGAAAATGAGCGCATCCTTCTCTTCTAAATTGTTTGTGCTACTAGTTTTCATCGTTTGGTTCTGAGTGTTGTTACCGTTGCTGCCGTAGTTGTTATGATTTCTGGTTATCGTGCCATGGTGTTGCATTGACCTGAGATCAAGATTCTGGGACATGTATATGACTAATTAAAACTAGGTAGATGTATGCTAATGATCATATGAAGGCTAATTTTCACTGTTAGTCTCGTCTTCCAAGTGTTTGGGGAAATGCTTCTTTGGTCACTTGCCTCTTAGTTGTGTTGCTCTTTGTTTCAAAATGTTCTTTTTATTTTATGTTTAGAAGTGCTTGGCCTGTAAACTGTTAACTGATATTTGGATTAGTTTATGATAACTATCATAATTGCAAACCACAGAATTCATTGAATTATTGGTTTTGAGAAGGGAAAGGAAGGATGCATCTCTATATGGTAACTATAGGTAATTATTCATGTGTTTATACATGAAGTAAGGAGAATTAATGTTGAGATCATGTGACTTTTGAACAGAAAGGCTATCAATTCTTTATAAAATCTAAACATTTAAGAATGATGTAGCCTTGTTATAAAAATCATCTTAAAGTTTTATTTGTATTAGAATTGAACTGGCAACCAATCTTTGAAACGCTTGTCTGGCTTAAAGATCGGCTTTTAGTTGTATAAATCTCGCTCTTCAACTGTCGAATTTTTATTCTTTGGAACCTTAAAACTTTCTTATGAAGTAAATGATAAAGACCCTCTCTTACACTGTGATCTTTTCCAGTAGTAGCCAATACTGGAAAAGTTACTACCACGGTTTTTTGTGTTTGAATTTTACTTCTTCCCTTCTGTTTTCTTGTTTTATTAGCTTATAATGTGATTTTTTTTTTCCGTAGCATATAATGTCGTTCTTTACCTTAACCTTATAAACTGCACTATGCTATATCATGGTTTCGTGATACACATAAACCTGTCCTTTAGGTTAGACCTGCTTAATCTAATCAAGTCTTGAGACATTCGGTAAAAGATATGTGGTCGAGTCATACGACTGTCTATTCTTTAACATGCATTGTCTTTTGCACATTTTCAAATGTGGTACTTACAATTATGCTATCATGTATGACATCTGAATAGTTGGACGTTCTTTGATCGGAAGCTTGGACAATAATTTGTTAGGAGCAAATCATGAAGCAATGGCAAAGCTGAGTAACCAATATGTTTTCTCTCAGATACTCTGCTTGTCTCTTTTAATTTAAGTTGTGAGTTCAATCTCTTTGCCATACTTTGAAGTGTTGAATTTAACTCACACATACGGATACAAATTGGTGCTGGTGACTTGTCTTCTCCTTCTGTTAATTCTGTGAGAATTGATTGAAGAATTTTCCCCATTTTTACCAATCATTTGACTTGAAAACATACTGTTCATTTCAAAAATATCTGCAAATTACATCCCACCATATCTCAGTCATCATGCTCATCAGTATAATAACCTGAAATGAGATATCTACTCGCTGTTTGTGTAAATGATAGTTGATGGACTAATTCTTGAATATTCCATTACTCTAATTTATGCTATAAAATGTGTTAAATATAGAAGCATATGATATTTCTCTCTTCCTCTCCTCTTTATCTGCTTCATCCTCCTGTTTGCACCTTTGTCATCACCTTATCGGCTCCTCATTTATTGACCTTCACCGCAATGCAGCGCTGCCACCTCCACCGCCATTGCAGCAACTACGATGGCAGATGATCTTTAGGCAAATTTTCCTTATCTCAATTTTTTGTTGATGAACTTTCCTTGTTGTGCATAAACAACAGATGATCTAAAACCAGCTGAAACTGCTCTTTGTGTCACTGCAGCAGCAAAGAACATTCATACAGATGAGGGCAAAACCTCAAAAGTGGTGGACAACTCCGTGAAGGACCAGTTGGGCCAGTGCAGTGGTACTCAGTCACCAAGCAGGGAGAACCAGTTGGGCCAGTGCCTGACGAGGTTTAGGAGGAAGAAGCATGTCGAGCTTCGTACTTAGGCCGAGCACATAAGTTTGACTACCCGACATCTGTAGGATGATCTTTTAGGGTTTGCTGGCTGGGTGAAGTCCGTCTTCATGATATATCTTTCCGTTGGATTGAAGAGCGGTAGTTGTGGATCAAATGCTCATAAATATATCTACATCACATCATTATCTTTTTGCTCCTGCTAAACTGAGCTTTAGTTGCTCAAAAGGGATAGTAAGGTTTGATTTACTGTATCGGAAAGAGAGAAAAGGCTTCCTCCTCACCTGACAGACTTACAAATACTAAGTAAAAGAGGGTTTGAAACACACACAAACTGATGGAAAGAGAGTTGGGAACAGAACACCAACCACAAGGGTAAACATCTCATTTTTTATATCCCAGCATAAGCAACAGTTTAAAGAGTTGGCAAATGTGATGCTGCCACTTACTGATAACTATTAGCAACAGGCATTTGCTGAAGACACCAAATGACTACATCATTCCCATGCGCTTCCTCCTCTTTTAAGGACAAGGAACACTAAAACTGAGCTTGTAGAAGAGTCATTTACTGAACAGTTGGGTAATCCTTCGAATAGAAATAGCAATCTAAATGTACAAACTGGCAAACTATGCAAATCAAGATCATTGTCAGATGCAAATAAATAAGTACTTCATTGACTTTAACATAAATGCTATAAGCAAAGTAGGTTAAATAATTCATTTTAGACAGCACAACTCAGCAGACCTCCTTTGCCACTCATTGCCTAGTGTATCAAATAATGATTGTTTCTAGGAGAAAATTTTTCGCCTGTAGAGTCTCGATATAAAAAATGTTGTACCTAACCCTAACCGGAAGCAAGAAAAGTGGATCAAAGTTTCAATTCCCCAGAGTACCAGTCCAGAGTCAACAGTCCTGAAACAACAACAATAAATATTTTAAGAATCCACCTGTCAAGCTGATTTAAACAGTTAAAAAGTATCCAATATAGAAATTGCCTCTCAGATAAGAATTGAGCCGTGTACTTAAAATATAAATTTGGGGATAGCAATCAAGAGAAATAGCAAAAGGATTTTCTAAAACTAAACAAGTCGTGTTTTTCTAATTCAGACGTTTTGATCCTTTTTTTCTGAAATTAATGGATGCTCGAGAGAAGAATCACTAAATAGGAACTCCTCAAACCATTTATAAAGTTTAAATCGGCAATAATTTCTTGCACCCTTTACTCCTATTGTGCTTACAAAAGATGTAAGTTCCTGGTTCGTCATTGGCATTCTTGCACAACAAATGTACGCACTATAATGCCAATATGGTTGTGATAATTAATTAGCACACAGCAAATCAAAACTTCAAGGGACTGAGCTAATAACATGAATCGAATGAATTCTTGTATCGAATTTAGCAAAGTAACAAAGAAAAAAAATCTTCTGGAGACATAAATGTTTATAAAAAGAAATCACTTTTAGCTTAGTGAGGTCTAGTGACAATAAGAGAACAAATATGAATATGAAAAAACAAAAGCTCTTAGTACTCACATTTTCTAAATGATCCAGCCAGACAAGTTAGTCTGGATTTTGTGTTAGTCTCAGCCAATGGATTTGGTTTCTCTTTGGCAGTCATGCGGGCATCCCATACTCGTACGACACCATCAGATGAGGCAGAAACAATAAAATTGGATGCTTCAGAACTTTCTGCATCATTTCCATTCTTGAAAGTAACAAGTCCTTTTACACGTGTTGAATGTGCATCCTCGATGCTATATGCAACTTTCCCGGATGTTGTATCCCAGGCAGTGATGCTGCGGTCCTCTCCACCAGTAAACAAAACTCCATTCTGAAACATTTTAAGTAGTGTAGGAAAAATCATGACATTATCCCAATAAATAAAACATCAAGCAGCCATTTAACGGATATTGATCGAGCGTAGGAAAGATCACAATGGAAGACTCAGTGCTTTTATACCCCAAATCTACCTTTCTATTTTCTTAAAGTGTTTTTGGATTCAAATAGCAAAGAAATAGAAGGAAGCATCAAAAGTGTACAAATTGAAGTATAACAGTGAAAAGTTATCCTAAAGAACATAGACTATCTTCTACAAATTGGTTGTTAAACAGGTTTCGCAAGTTTTATACGATAACATAAGAAGATCAAAGGATATACAATTAAGAAAACAAACAAGATAACAAAGAGGCCTGTCTCTGGATTTCATATTGTTACTAGAATTTAAAAGAATAAAGATAATCAATAAATATAAACAGATTATTTCGATGGGATCAAGTCCTGGTGATGGAACAAATAGTTCTGCACTGTTCTATCAATCATACTTATTATTTCTTCAGTGATACCAGGCTGCACAAGTCATTATGCCACCCAAAATACTGGTACAAGTTATTCAAATCAGTAACAGACCGGTATTGAAATTCATGTTACTTTAAAACCCAAACCAATGTTTATGTGAGCTCTATACCCTTAATTTAGCTCCAATGCCCTACTTTTGAAATAGAAGGCAGTCAATCAAAGAATAAGCTAGCTTTTGAAAAAATCAACTTTGTGTTTCACAGTAAAGTCTTATTTTGTATTTTCAAATGCTAACATGTACTCAACGATTCAGCAAACACTGAAGTCCAGCATGAATCAAACGCCAAATACTAATTGGGATGTTCTGCGCAAGGAATCTCTCTGGAAGTAACCCTCAACTCTTAGAACCAGTAAAGAACATAACAAAAGGGAAAACACATGTTTATAATTCAAGATATCTATGCAATCCATCCTTGCATTATTTATTACTTCAAATTACTTTCTGTACCAGGTAAAATCCTTGAAGAACAACTAACACGTTTTTGTTCAGATCACATTCGTTTAGCTTACGATACTTTACTTCGAGGACGAACAAAGAATACGAAAAAAAAAGCTTTTTTTCCTCATAAATAGAAACGATACCTCAGAAGGAGCTACGCAAAGGACCCTCTTCTGCCCGTCCATCTCCTGAATCAACCTCGCATCCTCGGAATCATGCACCGTAATCCTCTCGTCTGCCACCATAAAGAACCTCGCCCCGTCTCCGCACCCATACCTCACGATGGAGGCCTCGCGGTCGAGCCGGCACGAGAAGCTCCGCCTGCCCCTGACAAGGTTGATCAGCGCGAGGCAGGCGTCGCGGCCGACCGTGAGCGCGGCGCGGCCGGTGGGGTGGACGGCGAGATCGGCGATGCCCTTGCGATGTGTGGGGACGGTCTTAAGGTGGACGAAGGGGTCGGCGTCGTAGATGCAAACGGCGCCATCGTCGGAGGCGGAGAGGAGGTTGCGGGGGAGGCCGCCGGGGGAGGAGGCCGGGGCGTAGAAAGCGAGGGCGGTGACGGCGCCGCTGTGATCGAGGAGGGTGCCGACCTCGGCGGCGGCGGCGAGGTCGTAGAGCTTGATGGCGTCGTCGGAGCCGCCGGACGCGGCGACGGTGCCGGCGGTCGCGACGGCCTTGATGGGGCCGATGTGGGAGGGGTAGGAGAAGAGGGGTTTTAGGGTTAGGGTTTCCGGCTTGAAGGCGAACCCCCAAATAAACTTCTCGTAAGAGCCGGCCACCAGCGTCGCCATGCCTGCTTGCCCTCCTCGGCCCATCACTCGACCTCTTCGCCATCATATAGATAGCTCGGTTCTCGTGACCCGGTTTGACGCGCTGTCACATTTCATTTCGGTTCGACCGAATCCGGAAGCCGCTAACCCGTTTGAATTGGCCCAAGTTGAGTGATTTTAATTGGGCTCTTTTTAATTTGCAATTGACTCGGCCCAATTTGGTGGTTTTAATTGGGCTCTTCTCCTATTTGAAATTGGACCGAGCTATTTTAGCTACGCCGTTTTTATTCGGCCCAAATTGAGTGGTTTTAATTGGGCTCTTTTCTCTCGGCCCATTATCTTGATTCAACAAATTGATCTTTTATTGATAAATGTTATATATTATTGGTAAAAGATAAAAGACGATAAATAATTGGAGTAAAGGAAGATGGGACCCATGGGTGAGCCAATAAGCTGCCCCCACATTGCAAGACCGGGGACATGCAACCTGACATCAGCTAGATCAGATGGAGACTTACAAAGAAGGGTCAAAGTGCGTTGACTTTGGACGCGCATGGATGTAAGGTGGCACACGCGTTGACTTCCAATCCCCATCCTTGATACACTCAAATAAAGAAAAAGAAAAGTTGAATCCGATTTAAGTAAGCACATATTGTTATTAGTATTATTATTATTATTATTGTTGGTATTGTTATTGTTGTTGTTGAAGACTTGTAGTTAGAATAGGATGGGCAAAGAGGTGAAGAATCATCAAACATGTGGTTAGGGTTATGATTTGCTATATTATATACTTCATTTTATATTAATGGGTATGTAAGATCATATGATAGGGACTACCTATTAAAATGAAACATGTGTACCTAGGGATCCATGTTGAATTATCCTTTTTTTTATTAAAATATTTTTTAATCCAAGGGATAATGTTATCTTTTAATTTATTCGAGTTAAATACTTGAATTAGGTTAGATTCTATGACATGATTAGTAAAGGGGTTATATGCATACATTCAAATAATTAAATATTTGATATCATTCAATGCTATCCAATAGTATTAAAAATTTTAGCTACTTAACATATCATTTACCATTTTCAACAATTATTTGATTTTTTTTTTTATAATTTCTAAAAGCACTACTTTAAGAAGGATATACATAATAATTTGAAGAATATTAAATGTTAATTTTAGTGGGGGTGAATGAAAGATCACCAAATTTATAAGTTTGTATAAGTAGTTTTGCCTAATATTAATTAGAAATGATAGCATTGGATTGTAAAAAAACACTCTAAAGATAATTTAAATCAGTACTAATGCAATAAATGATATACTATTTTATGTCTAAACTCTTTTCACATTCATCAATTACATTATATTAATTACAAATGATAGCATTGAATTGTAAAAAAAAAAAAAAAGTAAATTGATTAGTGTGACTCTAAAGATAATTTAAATCAATGCTAATGCAACAAGTGATATACTATTTTATATCTAAACTCCTTTCACATTCATCAAGTGCATTTTGAGAAGCACTGTGCTCCAACTTCTCAACTTGTGACATATCAATTTGATGTAGACATGACAAGATAACAGTGTCAATGTTGCTTATCCTTGAAACACTGCATTGTCATTCTTCATGATTTAATTTTAGGACAAGATGATCCATTCAAATGACATCAAACATAGTGTCTTACAATTAAGGGTTTGCACTACATTTTATCCTATTGATTGGTCATACTTATGACTCTTGCTTGGCACCTACCTCACAGGCTTTCATCCAGGGAAGGTGTCTACTGATGGGGAGGTGTTTACTAATAATGCAGTACAAAATTCCATCATCCCCATAGGAAAAAGAAAGCATCACACCACACATTATTCTATACTGAATTATTAGCTCTAAAATAATATTCTATCATGGTCATTGAATTCCATGAATTAAAAGTAGTTCCATACTCCATGACTGGTCTTAACATGATAGTTTATGTCATCCTACCACCTATTTTGGAGCCATTGGTAGCCCTACAATGCCTTGGGACTCTTGAAAGTATACCACCACCCAAGCCATGGCATGTGCAATGCCTTCTAATCTTTATACCAAAGCATAAAATTCATCTAATGATTGTAACCTTTAGTGGTGGAGAGATTAGTGTTAAGTACTAAGACAATGATGGTCATTGTTACCTTTAACATGGTGAATGTATAGATGAGGGTGATGATGACTACACTACTATCCTCACCAAGATCATCATTCATAGATATAATCTTGATTAGAGGAACAAAAATGAGTGGAGATCATCATGCATGCTCTTGCACCATCCAAGCCATAGCTAATTGCTACTAAACTTTGTATTTTTGGTAGTGGAGACAAGTGCAAGTAGTCATGGTTTTCAAGATAAGACAAATCATGGTCATTGTTTACTTTGGACATAGTGAATTTGATGATTAAGTTTAATATATATATATATATATATATATATATATATATAATTATGATTAAAAGAGACTAAAAAAATGAGTACCTATCTATGATGACTCAATTAAAACAATAAATACCAAAAATTATATAAATGATAAAAAAAGGTATATTTGATTTGATTGTTAATGGATAATAGGACTTGTTGTCATGATTAAATTTATATTTTTGGTTATTATGTTATCATAATTTAATTAATTAATTTGGATTAAAAAAACTATTTTAAATTAAAATTAGTAGTTAGATATATCAACAAAAATACAAGCTATAAAAAAAATATGGGTGTTTAGATTACTGTAATTACGGAGGTAGCGGATTTGCCGTTTCCGGACAAACACCAAACACGAGAAGATGAATTAAAGGGAGAGGGGACAGCGGGGGAGAGAGAGAGTACGGACGTAATACGCCTCTCCCTTCGCCCTCTCCAACGGGTCTCCTCGAATTCTGTGGTCGCGACCATGAACGTGGTGGACTCGCGGGAATGGCAGCCGCCCTGCCCCAAGAAGAGATCTTGAGGTGGCGCGAGGAGGGCTGATCTGTTCTCGTTTGCTTGTCGTTGGGCTTTGGGAGGGAGGGGAAGGGAAGGGATGGCCGCCGTGGGGCGTACGAGGGTGGGGAAGTACGAGCTCGGTCGGACGCTCGGGGAGGGCACCTTCGCCAAGGTGAAGTTCGCGAAGAACCTCGAGACGGGGGAGAACGTGGCCATCAAGATCTTCGACAAAGACAAGATCCTGCGGCATAAGATGGTCGGCCAGGTGAAGAAAGATGCGACCTTTGTCCAAAGCACGCAACTTTTCCGGGGTTTTCTTGATTTAGTCTTGGTTTCTTGCTTCCCGTTTCTTTTGGATATGCCGAGATTAAGGGTTCGTGCAGTATCAGCTTAGGTTTTCCTTCGTTTAGAAAGAGCTCGTGAAATGTTTGGACTTGTCTGCAACTTGGCGTCTATCCTCGGCCTCGTTTTTTACCCTAGAAACAGAATCAAAAGAGGGAATCTTTGATCTGTTGACAAAATCGATCAGTATAGCATGAATAATATTGTTCATGTGATCAAGTTCCACACGATAAGGTCATGATGCGTTTCTACCGTGTGTAGGATTTGTTGATCATCTGCCAATGAATTTTCATGGATGGAGCTGTCATCGGCACATTTCCAAGTTTTGGCAGCGATCAACGAAAACCATTTCTTGATATTAGCATTCTCATCATGCTCTGTACTGTGGCTTGTGTGGTTAATGTGATTCCCACAATTCAGTTTCTTTATAGGTTTTTAGGATGAGTTTCTTGACTTATTATGTTCTGTTGACTCGTAGTAGGCTGACGGTGTTTACCAACTCATATGCTGCAGATAAAACGGGAAATCTCAACCATGAAACTGGTTAGACATCCGAATGTGGTACGGATGTATGAGGTGAGGTACAAGGCCTCGTTCTTATTTGCATTTATGTGATTTACCTATTTCATTCAGCTGTCCATGATGCATATAGTGAACTAGATACTGAAATTTGAGGTTTTTCCGACTGCTGTTAACATATTTCTGCTATTGTTTTCCTAAATTCTTATATCTGCTTTCTTAAAGAATAAACTTCCGACATTTGCTATTTCTAAGTTTCTTCAGCTGGATCATGTTCTGCAACATTTTCATTTTACGGTTTCCTTTTTGCCTTTGGTAGTATGCATCATCTCTGACATGTGGAATACAAGCATTCAATGATGTGGGCTCTGACTTCTGTCTCTGTCGTAGTCCACTAATCCTCTGATTGAAGATCTAAGTTGTAACTGCTCAAACCTTTTGTCATAGGTCATGGCCAGCAAGACGAAGATATACATGGTTTTGGAATTTATAACTGGGGGTGAACTCTTTGACAGAATTGTAAGATAGGATGTTCTTGGCATAGTTTCCTGTTCTGCTGAAAGAAAAATATCGAAAATTACTCATGATTCCTTGTGTATTGCTGCTAATATTCTAAGATTCCTGATGTAGGCTCGTAATGGAAAATTGAAGGAGGATGAAGCTAGAAAGTACTTTCAACAGCTGATTGATGCTGTAGATTACTGTCATAGTAGAGGTGTCTTCCATCGAGATCTGAAGGTTGAGAATGGATTTATGTCTTGTCCCCTAGCATTACTAGAATGTTGATTCCGTCACTCACTTTGTTTCTATAACCTGGAATTGGTAACAGCCCGAGAATCTGTTGTTGGACTCCAATGGTGTTCTTAAGATCTCAGATTTCGGGCTCAGTGCATTACCTCAACAAGTTCGTGTAAGTTTTTATGACTTTGGTGCTGACATAGATTACGCATGTTGAAAACAACATAAGGAGTAATTAAAATATTTTAGTGTGTTTTTATTCTCGTCATTCCACATTCGCTTTGTTAGGGCTCCCATAATTTAATGAGGTACTTGCACCCTTTTCAAGATTTGTTTTTTTATTGTGTCATTATATCTCTGTCCGTCATTTCAGTATTCGTATACATTGCTGAAATATAGGCGACAAACAACATGGGTACATTGTTTGAAAAACAGATGGATTCATGAGTTTCTTTAACCTGGCTAGCTTTTCATTGCAGGAGGATGGCTTACTTTACACAACATGTGGTACTCCAAATTATGTTGCCCCTGAGGTAACTTTTGCGATTGAGTTGGAGTCGATTCTTTCGGTTCCCTAGATTCTTTATCTTCTTCATTTCGTATATATTCTCCTTAGGTGGTCAAAGACAAAGGTTATGATGGGGCCAGGTCAGATATATGGTCATGTGGTGTGATCCTTTTTGTCCTTATGGCAGGTTATTTGCCTTTTGAAGATTCCAATCTAATGTCATTATATAAAAAGGTGATTTCTTGTGCAGAAGTATTCTTTTTAGATAGTGATTAATCATGCAAGGTTTCCATTGCAAATTTGTTCCTGATGTTTGTGGATGCCATTACAGATCTTCAAAGCAGATTTCACTTGTCCGTCTTGGTTCTCTACGAGTGTGAAGAAACTTATCAAGAGAATTTTAGATCCTAAACCCCAAACTGTTAGTTGTTTTCCCCTTCGAAACATGTTCGCTATCAAAATAATGAAGACCCAATGCATAGTCCTCATATGATACAACTCCCTTGCAGCGCATCACGATTCCAGAAATCATTGAGAATGAATGGTTTAAGAAGGGATATCAGCCACCACACTTTGAAACAGAAGAGGTTAATCTTGATGATGTCGATGCGATCTTCAGTGAGTCGGGGGTAAATTTTATTCATCGTTGACTGCTTGAACAAGTTCTAAGCGTGTATGGGTACATGGTTTTAAGTTTATCACCCTTTTCATCGTGCAGGATGCAACAAATCTTGTCATTGAGAGACGAGATGAAAAGCCAGTTCCAATGAATGCTTTTGATCTTATCTCTACTTCACAGGGGCTCAATCTTGGCACCCTTTTTGAGAAGCAAATGGTGACTCACGTTTCTAAATCTTCATCTTTGTTCATTTCATCAACATTCTGATTTGTTCAGTAAAACTTAAGAATTGCTCAAGTGAGAAGAACACGCCTGTCTTCTGCTCTTTCCTTATTTCTCTTATTTTTCTTGCAGCATCATTCATGTCTATATTTGCTATTTGTCGGCCATCAATTAGCAGCAAGATAAAATATGACTTTCTAATTGTTTTCAGGGCCTAGTCAAGCGGGAAACAAGGTTTACATCGAAACTCCCTGCGAATGAGATTCTTTCTAAAATCGAAGAAGCAGCTAAACCACTGGGTTTCGAAGCAAGAAAACAGAACTACAAGGTCAGCTCCTCGTAACTTATTCTACGTTCTCTAATTTGTGAGCTTTTCTTATTTGGAAATGCAAATCCCACCGAACTGTTAATGTGAACGTATGTGCCATGTCGGTCTTAATTATAGCTGCTGATTTCACCAGCATGCCTCCATTGAATATTTATACTCATCTTCCACATTTATCACTCTAATCAAGGTTGTTCTGAACGTTATCTCAGCTAAAACTACAAGGGGAAAAATCTGGAAGGAAAGGGCACTTAGCCATTGCAAGTGAGGTAAAGTGTCATTTAATCACCTTTTGACGAAAAACTTTCTTATATTTGGAGACTAAAATCCCTGCTTCTCTTTCCAAGGTTTTTGAAGTGGCACCCTCACTGCATGTGGTAGAACTTCGCAAATCTAAGGGAGACACACTTGAATTTCACAAGGTAAGCACATGATTTTTCATATATATATATCTATATGTATATATAATGTTTCCATCGCGAGTAGATCAAGAATTCTTGCCTATATCATATCGACTTGATTCATCATTTTCTTTTATAGTTTTACAAAAGCCTATCGACGTCGCTAAAGGACATCATGTGGAAGTCACAGGAGGAGACCAGCGGATCTGATAAGAGTTAAATCGGCACAATTGGAGCTGACGAGAAGGAGGTCTAAAATTATGACCTTATACATAGTACAGTAAAGTACGAATCTGTATGAACTTTGTGCTCATGAATTTATCAAAAAAACCTTTGTTCTCATTAATACCTCGTACATGATGATTCTGAGAATGGTGTTTGATTTGGTGATGAAGGGTTAGAGGGTTAAATGGTGGGGAAGAGTTGTCTTAGTAAACTATAACTCGATGCCTTTTTGAACGAGTTGATATGGTTATTTAAGTATCCTCAAACCTACTGTACTTCTCTTTGGAAAGGTATATGGCAAAGGCGAGATTCAATCCCAGTAGCCATACCCTTATATTCTCATTATAATCTGATTCAGTGACTCTCCGGCAGTCTCTCCACCATGATCGGCCTGCTTACGAGGAGGTTTCTCTCGTTCCCCGCCGGGAACATGGCCTCGTGAAGGAGACTTTACGGACGTACACGACTTTTAAAGCAATCAAACAGAAATCACGCGAGGCGCTAACTAAGAACTCGACCACGTGTACGTACGTGAATCGGCTAACGTATCAACGTGCATGGGGAAATGTGTTTTTGTTTTTGCCCAACAACCACCTACTTACGATAAATTACACTTTAGTCCCTGCACACGGCGACGCCGCCGTGCGTGTGCTTTTGCGTGCACACACACTCTTGTACTTGTGTAACCCCAACCATGGGCCTATTCACAGTGCTGCCACTCACTTACACCGCTGGTGCGCGGCCCAGAGGCAAAGCCGTGGTTATCGGAGTCGGAGATCAAGCGTTGGATCAACTGAAAACGTATATATGAATTAAAATGCAAGTCATACATACGTTACGATGAAAACTTATGCTATAATGAAAGAGAACATATTGAGAAGATAAATCTAAGCAAATATGATAATAAAATTTTATTTTCCACTCTTATTATAATTTTACAATATACCAAAATTAGAAGAATATTTTAAATGTTTTTTGATATAAATTATAACCAAACAAGCTGGATGCAATGTGCAGCGACTAAACTCATCAACGGCAACTTTCAAAACCTTTTTTTATTATGAATCCAATTCGAAGAAAATCAATCAGTGCATGATATTTATTTTTTAATTATTCAACCATTTTGTTTTACCAAGTTCAATCAACATTTAACAACCAAATTAATCAACAAAATCTATATATTTCAATGCCGATAGTTCTATTGATTATTAATCGATCATATTTTCTACATTGGTATTATTCCAAAATCATTCTATTCAAACTATATCTTACTTGACCCGAATTTTCAGAAAACAAAGCTAAAAGCAATAGCACCGACGAAGGTGCTTAATTTGCAAGCATATATACATACAACCTAGTTTCATTAATTAGGTGACAAATCCAACCTAATAAGCACCAAATGATTCTTGTATTATGTAAGATTTATCCAGTGCTTGGTTTTCTTACCAACATAACTCACTGTTGTTGGGTGATGAACATTGCAATCCCAGGCCATTTCATTCCCATTCGGCTACTCTGCAACCTGGCATCGAGTGAACATCAAATTACAATACATGTGACGCACCCAAAGGAGCACAAGAACAGAGAAGCACCACTTTATATGTCCTGTAGATGCCCCCGGCACCATATATATATATATAAGGTTACATGTTTCAATAATCTAAAGAGAATGGTTAGATATAAAGAATGAAGACCAATCTAGGAAGGACGGCCTCGTGTATCTTACAACTTGCCACAAAGGGGTCAACGTAGGAAGATAATCTGCAGGGTTTGAACATAAACAGCAGTATCAATCTAAGAGGTTTGATTTCTTCGATGCAAAGAAGAAATGCTGATATGCATAAAGGTTCATATAAATGTAGAAACAAAGTCTTTCCTCTATGCAGACACAGAAATGCTAACGCATGACATTACACAAAATACCTGCACAACTATTTGCTATAGCTTGCTCAAAAACCAGCTAGAAATTGACGATACACTAAATGCCAAGTAGAGACCAATTAAGATTCATGCCAATCTCATAGTTTCTTGATGCTAATGTGATGGTGTCGAGAACCATGCAGCCCATGAATGTAGAGAACATCTTGTGCGATGAGGCAGACTATAGAAAGCTCAAGGATTTAACCTCTTTCAAAAATTAAAAACTCTATATAAGACCGACAGCATGACAATCTCATAAGAAAAGAACTTGTTGCATCATGGCAATACAAGAGGCTTGGGACATTATGGCTTGTATAGCAATTAAACCTTCTCTGAAACATTCCAATCTGAGTCATGGATCCTTCGAGCAAATCATCTTAATAAGGCTTACTACCTCTAGTGCTAATAGCTTTCATCTCTGGGGGGTCTTCAGATCAAGATACACAGGAGCAATATCAAAATCATCATCCTTACTCAAAAGACTTGGAGTTTGACGGTGATTAACATATATGCATCATATTTAGTAAAATGCTCGTTTGTAGTTTATACTTGGCTTATATGCTACTTCAGATGGAAAAAAGATGCAATTCCTAAGAGTTCCTCTATATCCAATTTATGGCACCATGAATCAGATCAGCGTTACTGACAACATTTCCAAGCAAAATAAGCAAATATGATAATCAACATATCACTAGAAAATATAGTGAAAGCAGGCATACCTCACAAGATTTTGATTCCAAAACATGGTCTTTAAAGAAACCTTCACTAGAAGAATGCTTGATGGTACGACAAAGAAAGAAATAATTTTTATCGGCCTTTATCAGCTGGCAAAATTTTTCCACCCACTGCAACGACCTCAGAGTTCTTATGCTGAAATTTCATAAATTGACGTCCCTTAATCAAAATGGACAACATATAAAGGAAACCAAAATTACTCAAATGGGAATACAACCTACTTTACCTTACTTTTCTTGTGCTTGTGAGTGTCTGTGGAATCTTCGTTTCCCTCATGCTTCCTTTTCTATTACCAAATATCGATGAAGAGATAAAAACAAGAAAGCATAACCCAGTCATAACAGCAGAACAAGATGCAAGAAGAAAAAGATATAATAGGAACAGAAAGGAACCTCGTGATGTTTCAGGTGGTCACCTCCTGAATCGTGATGTCCACCTTTATCCTTCTTTTTTTCTTTATCTTTGTCTTTATCCTTGCTTCGATCTTTGCGACGATGTTTGTGCTTCTTATGCTCCTTGTCCTTGTCCTTGTCCTTGTTCTTATCTTTGTCTTTGTGCTTCTTGTGCTTCCTATCCTTGTCTTTCGAATCTCCTTTTGATTTTGAAGAAATTGTAGGTGTTCCTTTTGCTGCCTGTAGTACATCACAAAGAAAAAAAAACACTTTTTCTATAGCCAGTAACTTAAATTTATGAAACCAAATGGGATCACAGAGTTTGTACAGAAGGCAAATCAATAGGTGCTGTATCTCGCAGCAGAAAAGCTTGCCCTAGGAGCTCCAAATCAAATGGTTGTATGTGTGCTGTCGATTCTCTCAAGTATGGAGCATTGTGAAAGAGTTGATCCAGCTCCATCCCTTCTCCTTTCCGTATTTCCGTCTCTCCAACAACATTGTGAAGATAATGTGTATCCAAGATTGACAAGGGCAAATTTCTTTTGCAAAAAAAGTCATGATGTGTCAACAGCTTGTAGTGGTTTATTAAATCAACAGCACCAGTAAGCTCCCTAGGACCTGCAAATTCAATCAAGAACTGCCCCTTCAGAACTATAGCTTCAAAGGTAAAAGCAAATCATACATATGAAGATCCACATAGTGATGACATAGATCCACACAGATAATGCAATTTTAAGCTCAATGCCACGACTTTTCCCCAACTTTTTATTTTTTTCAAAGCCTTCCTACAATGATGACGAGGATGAATAAATTTCCCCAAAGTGAATTGTCAACTAACATTATAATTTGCGACATACAAAAGAAACTCTATAATACCCAAGCCTAAACTATAGGCAAGCAGGGGAGAAGAATTGGTGACCTTGATAACCTATTACATAATACATCATTACAAAACCCCAGTAACTTCAGTGCAACTCTTCCAAATAAAGATGACTATCTTAAGGTTCGCAATTTCGTACCGTACCGACATTTCGAGCTCAACTCGGTACGAGCATACCGAGCAGTTCGCTCTGGTGTACCGCTTTATATATATATATAAGTTAAAAAATAAAAAAAAGAGCGATGTTATCGAGGAGACATCACCTCGTTTCTTCTCCCCGCGCGGATGAGGAGAAGTCGCCGACAACGTCGAGGCCTCGTCGCCTCAGAGGAGGCGACATCTCATATGCGACGTCCGACAAAGGAGGGCGACGATGGATCAAGATCGTCGAGGGAGAGCGATGCCAGATCTCCAGGTTCTCCCTTTTCTTCTCCCTCTAATTCCTTCTCCCTCAACTAATACCACCCAATAGCGGGTGCGGCGGTAGAAATCAACCGTTATAGACCGATTTCGGGGAGTAATGGGGCGGAAACAGTCCCAATCGATGATACCATCCGATAGTGAGAGGTCTACCGTACCGATCTGCTAGCAGACCGGTACTGAACGGTATCAATCGAAATTAAAATCCTTGGGCTATACTAACAAAGTTGATGCCAATAGACCGGTACCGGGCGGTATCATTCAAAATTAAAATCCTTGAGCTATACTAACAAAGTTGATGTTTGGAAGTTGGAACACAATTCACTCAAGTTGCTATTAAAAGAACCAACTTCAGCTTGATGCTTTGCTCGATTTGAAATCAAAGTCAGAGAAAGAGCTAGATCTACTTCTAAGCTTGAAATAATGATTGGACCAATCATTATACAACAGTCAATCATGATTGACTCAGATATTATAAAAAGTGTGTCAACGTCATTCCTGAACAATCATATAGCAGAGTTGAAACCACAAAGTATCATCTTAATGTGTGGAACATTATACGTAATGCTCAAAAATTCAAATGATCACTAATATGTTTGTGTCTGGTCCACAGTCTTTTGTGGTTAAACCAAAGTTCAACCAGTGCAAGATATACAGTTCTATATTTTGGACTTGGTGAATTCCGACTTAACATAAATCACTTCATGTCTCTAACATTGTTTGTGTTAGCTCGCGCGCACGCGCGCGCGCACACACACACACACATACATATATAGATATATACATATATATATACATATATATAAGTACATCATACATATACATACATACATACATACATACATATATAGATATACATATACATACATATATATACATACATATACATACATATATATACATACATATATATATATATACATACATATATATATATGACGTGAAGTTTTCATATATCTGTAAGTTTTCATTTGACCGTTCCTTTCATGTAAGAGGAATATTAAGGTCCAAAAGTTATTGGAAGATATATCACAGTCTCTACAACCGCTTAAAGTCATATATCCATAAATCAAATATGTATGGCATGTGAGTATATGGTGGTCCATAGCTTAAGCTTCCTAAGGGTTTGCTTACTGCCCAGAAAATGGCCCATGCGCGTAAACAACCACTTATTACAACAAACAATGGCCTCTTACCAACAGCACAGAACTCATCTTTTTATATCCGCTTTACAAAATGCCAAAGATTTTCTCTATCAAGGTTAGCAAGAAAAAACACTCCCTTCATGTATATATATCCCACACCTTTCACATTCCACAATGCCATAAGTGCCCTGAATAGCTTCTCAGACACCAACAGTAGATCAAAGAAAATTGGAATTAATGCATCAATCACCTTTATTCATCTCCACCATTTAATGACTTTCAACAAGCACCATTTCCTATTAATGTGTTCAGAACCTCAGAAATTAAATGCCCATGGCACAAACCTCCCTATGGAGCACATTGTGCAAGAAGATGACTGGCCAGTTATGAAAGGTGCTTGAAAATTTTCTCTAAGAAAGAAGACACAGTATGCAGTTGACTCTCGAATAAGGACACATCAAATGCAAATAAGAAAGAATAAAACGCTGATGAGATTCATTAACAGTTTTCAGGGATTACAAATAATTTTAACACAGGGAGGATGGAAACTACTGAATAAGCAAAAGTTAAACTCCGTACTTCAACATTTGAAAATGCAAAGAAATCAAGAAATGAAGAATCTATAGCTGACTCAAACTCAAGTATTACAGATTCCCTGTGAAGTAGCAACAAATTTGTAAAGAAAATAGTTCTAAGCTTAATTGTTCTTTTTAAATTATATACATCATTCATCCAGCATCATCTTTAGCATTTCATACTTTTTTTCTCTCTATGGTAAGATCTGATAAAAAGCATGCTTATCTCAGAATGGTTCAACTTTGGACTGCCTTGTCGATTGATTCGGAAATATCAAACCAAACAAAAAGAAGCTAATGATTTGTTTGATCCAAAAGCAGGTCCAAAAGTAATGTAATAGAAAGGAAAAAAGGCTTATCTAGGCCATTTTTAAAGTGTTTGAAAAAGACAAAAAATAAAAAGACAACCTCATCTACAAGCATGGTGCAGGAATGATCAGATCTAGGATTGATGTAGCGGAATGACTTTCACTTGTACATATGTGATAGATATTTAATCTCTAACATAAACCAACCTAACTATACGATAAGATCTGTTGAATCACCTTCCCACTGCAATTATTTATTATTTAACCAAGTTCAAAGATGAATGTACAATTATGCTGAAGGAAACATAACACATTACGACAATAGCCATGTTACTAGTTTTGATGTAAAAAATGAAAACTATGTGAAAGTAAAATGACTCATTTTTTTAGTATAAAACAACAACTTTACCTCTTCCAAACTTCTTCCCTTCAGGATCCATCCTATCAAAGCGGAAAATATATGGAAGCCATCTTCCTCTGGCATAAATAGACTATATGATCAAATCCAAACTTCTTATGTCACCATAACTAACAAATAAAGAATAGTAGAACAACTTAATAACCTTGCACAGTTAAAATGAACAAAACTAGAACTAAAAAGTCAAACTAATCTGTAAAGGATACAAAAGGCACTTTTGCACCAAATAGCATATGAAAGACATTTAATTGTTATTTTTTTGTGAAAGTTAATCAGTTGTATAACCATCAAACATTAGCTTATTTGAAATGCTTCATTAATAATGGCTTTCAAGTTTCCTAAGCATCCCCAGGTGACGAACCTATCCTATGACACAGGTGACACCTGGAGTTGGACAGTGCATCCAAATTGAAACTCCAGATTGCAATGTCACTAAATATGCATCAACTTACAGTTAATCGATTGGGTTAACAGATCAGGCTACATAACAGGATTTAGATTGGACTTGAATAGGAACAACCCACACATTAACTGTTCATTGCATCATTTTCAAACAAATTTAAATCCAAATAATAAACTCAAGCAAACCAAAGGATCATCACAACAAGCATTCACCTAGATATCAGTTTAACTAAAAATCAAACCATACAAGAAATAGCATGCATGAATATTCAGTAGATCTCTTCGAACGAATCTTCCAAAAGACGATCAGTAACCAGATATCACGTGTCAACGACAGGACCTAAATGGAGTACATACCAACGAATCAGAACGTGCATGGCGAAGAAGGCATTTCATCAAACAAGTGGGTAGAGCTAGCTTAGGCCTTTCTCGTCCAGCGCGCTTGCTTTTCAAAGATCAGCGGCGAGCACATGGGGATTCCGCTCCAGGACGGATGAGGACAACGAGAAGCGACCCAGGACACGACGTCGAGGAAATAGGAGAAGATGGAAGTCCGACAGAGGAGGAGGTCCAGAGGAGCCCCGGGCTGTGGAGCAGTACGGCGACGGCGTCGGAGATGAGGCCACGGGAGGACGCGGTTTCTCCCGTCGACACGGTGAGGAGGCGATGCAAGAGAGGTCGCAGCTACGAGGCGGTGATCGCGCAAGGAGACGGGAAAAGGGGCTCGATGGAAGGAAGCCCTAATAAAGTGGAGTCGGAGCCGATAAGCTTTCCACACCCTCTCTATTTATATTACTCGTCTCCATAATTAAGTGCATCACAATACAATACAAATTTCCTTTTTCTTTTCTTTTTTTTTGGGCACGAAAAATATCATTATATATATATATATAGTTTCGGATTTTCTTTATTAAAATTAATTTAGTGATATTATTTCATTTAATATTTTTCCAATAAAACAAATTACTATATTCGGTCCAAAGGAAACAACAGACAAATCTCGGGTCACCGTAACCGATATAGACGGGCCGGGTCGAGGGAGTGCAAAACGTTGAACCGGACCGGGTCGGGTCGAGGGATGCTGGGATGTCTCGTGATTGATCTTTAATGGTGATGCTGCAACAGTGATCAGTACAAAACATGGTGGGTAAGCTTCATGATGATGGCATGTCGGTTTTAGGTTCATGTGATTGTGACCATCACGGCTTCCTTGTTCAATTATTTGATCTGGTTGCTTGTGCTTCAGGTGGCATGACCCAATTTTTGACCTAAGAGCTCTGTCATTGCAATCGGGCTGGAAACGCAAACGAGGGGGAGAGGAGATGTCGAGCTTCTCGTTCCCGGAGCGCCCGGCGACGGAGATCATCGGCGCTCTCGCCCAGGTGGGCATCGCCGCCTTGAAGCCGGACGACCTCGCCAATCCCTCCGCCGACCTCGTGTGCACGCTCTACTCCAACTTCCTCGCCTTCGCCGACCCCCTCGGGTAAACACTCTGCCTCCTGCCCTTTTACGCTAACCCTAACTCCTGATCTCTTGTTCCCCCCTCGCTTCGCAGCGAAGAATCGGATATACAGATCGCTTTCAGTGCTCTCGAGCTTCTGGATAACCCCGACCACCATGTGGACGCCATCCGGACCTTCAATCTGTACCGCAAGATCAAGGGCATGCTCGCCTCCATCCGGTTCGGCAGCTTTAATCTTCGCGATCTCATCAAGCCTGATACCAAGCGCACCCTTCAGATCCTTAGCACCATCGTCAACTTCATATATTACAGGTGAGAATCCTACCGAATGAACCGTGAAAAGTATCCGGCCTTTGGATGTTGAATGGTTGATCTCTCCGTGGGATCCTTAGGGAGGAGAAGCTGAACATGCTGCAGCCCATTGTCGATCAATTCCCGGCATATGAGGAACGAAGGGCGGATCTCGAAGCAAAGATCGCCGAGGTCTTTTCTTCTTCCTTTGCATCCACTTTAATTTGGCTATGATAGCCATATTTGGTATAATGGGTCGAGTGATAATGATCAGCTTGTTACTTGAATGTTGCAGGTTAACAAGCTGATTTTGGACCATGAAGTTGCACGACAGATGGAAGAGCCGGCAGTTCAGCAGTTGGATGCAGAGGTCAAGGATCTGTGACAGACTATTCAGAATTATAACAAGCAGCAGATGTCATTGAAGACGATGGCCAAAGCACTCAAGGAGAAGACTGATGCTATTAATGACAAGGTTGTTTTTCCATTCCTTGCATTCCAGATTTATGACTACGTCAGTGGATTTAGATTGTATAATCTGTGTTTTTATAACTTGATACATGCCTTAACAAATGTAATATGCACCTTTGCTCGAGTGGACGTTGGCAAAATTCTCCACGAGTTAAACGTAATTATAAGCTTGTCCGTTGTGTCCTCTAAGATGTACCACCCGAATGCTTAGCGATGCATGGCCTTTAATGTACAAAAATCGGCTAAATAATGTTCCAGTCATATGGAATTTTGGGTAGCTAAATATACACAACTCTATCCCCACGCGTGGAAAGGATATTTACAACGTAAAACTTTCTGAAGAAGATTGCAACTATCAACATTTCTGAAATGTAAGTTTTGTTCAAGTTCAGATTTTGCAGAAAAGGACATGATGGTGTTTCTTTTGCTGGACTCATTCGATGGATTTGTACCCAGTGATGCCAATACTGCTGCGAGTCAGTTGGACGTTTTTCAATATTTTAGGTCGTTAACATCTCGATGATCATGTCATGGAAATTTATAAGGAGGTCTTTAAGTAAATGTCATCCATTTGTCATCAGCAAAAAGGTTATATGTTGTTGCTCACTCCAAAATCCAAACCCAATTGAGCATTCATTGTCAAAGGACTGCTTGTATATGCACTGGGGCCCTAGAAATTCAAATTAAAATCAGTCTTGCGGAAAAAAAGGTAAATCTAAAAACATATTACACAAACTAACAGTGTTGCCTGCTCATAATTATATTGTTTCACTGTCACTTTTCAAACATCTGCAAACAGTATACACTTACCTTGATATCTGGCACGCATAATTTTCTATCTTTCAAGGATTTTATTCTTTTGGTCTCGCAAATACATCATCATTCGATTTTGGAGTCATTTTTAGATCTCAATTGTTTACTGAAATGGCATTGCTGCTGCTGCTGCTTTGTTACCTTATTTTTGGCTCACCAAGTGGCCTTTGGATAATCAAATTTCATGATATGTTTCGTAACTGGACGAAATCAAGAAATAACCCCTTACGTGCGAAATTATAGAAGATCTCCTTTAAGATCAAACAGTTCCATCGAATTGAGTATGACTGTATGTGTGATAGCATCTACTATACCAGGAATATCAATGAACCCAATTCTTGCAATTGCTCAGGATACCCTCTTTTAGCTTCTAACACTGAGAATTGATACACTTTGTTATGGCTTGCATATGATGATAAAGTGTATAGTTTGATTGTTAACTTTTATCTTGCAGATCTCTCAAGCTGATTTTGAGTTAGTGAAGAATGCCCAAGAAAACTCCAAGTTGTCATCTAAAATTGTTCAGTCCCCTGACAAGCTACAGGTTCAATATTCAGGAACCACTTTCTTGTGTAGAATTTATCTTTTTGTGAAGTTAAAAAAAAATGATATGGTTCTATGTACACATAGATGTAACGATCATGTAAATTGAATGTTTCTTACTATGAAGTTGCAACTCAGAACTATGGAATAAGAAAGAAAATAAAGTATGTTTTCAATCATACTAAAAATGATTTTTTGAATGACTAGTGGAACCTCAAGGATTTTAGTTGCTAATAATTTATAAGCCTCTTAATGATAGAGAAATATTATTTGCTACATTAAAAACCAAATCGATTTATCTAACATCTCAGATTGCCATGAAGATAAATTCTTTGGATTTCTATGATCACATACACTTACAAAGAGTAAAAAAAAATATTTTGATACAAAATGCAAGTCTGAAGTTTCTTAAGACTTGGAAGTTTCAAGGCAGCATTTATACTTCGTGGTTTTTTGCGTTAATAACTTTATCTTCATAATATTGGCCTTATATCTATTTAATTTTACTTCCGCTGGCAATCTGGAGTAAGAATCCAGTATTTTAGATAGTTGTCTTTCATGTAATAATATCAAGTAACTCTTGATATCTAAATTTTTTCCAAAGAGGGCACTTGAAGAGAAAAAGTCATATCGAACTGAGGTGAAGAACTCTGAAAGGTCAGCCATGCAGAACATTCAAGAGAAAACTTCCACTTTGGAGGTGTACTCAAAGGTATGGTAACTTTTTGTTTCTTTTAGCAAATATGTATTACCTCTATGATTATATACCTCGAACAAAACTTTCATGATCTTTTTAATCTAAGTTCCTGATGGTGAATTTTCTACTCCTTGATGCTTATAGTTTTCTAGTCACATGAGTACATGTTGCTCTTCGCTTCCTATGAAGGAACATGTGCATCCATGAGGGTTTGGGAGTCCTTGACTTTTGAACATCAATGGAAGTATAGAACACTAATTCGTTGGGCTTTAACTGTGGACCAGTGTCTACCTCAGGAGTAGTAGAGGTGTGAGGAAGCAAAGAAGACAGAGTGACAGCCAAGAAATATCTGAGCCTGGATGACCAGGCATCAGAATTTATAGCAAGAATTCTGTCCAAGTTGAAAAATCTTGACATAATGATAGCAGGACTTTTCTTCCAACTTGGAAATTATTGTTTTAGCCAAGAAAATAGTTCTTTAGTTTATTTTGAGCTTTAGCGTAGAAGGCATGTTTGACTGCAGGACTTCATGGCTCCGGTGCTTTTTCAAAACAAGTTTTGAAATATTACTAACTATATGCTGTTAGGCTCCTGCAACAGGAAATAACCCTTGGATGCTAAGTTTGACACTCAGATTTATTCACTTTTGTAATCCATTTCTGTCCTCAGGTTTGCCCCTTACTTTCCTCTTAACTTTTTCTTGATGCTTCTCTATTTATAATAGACCATCTTCACAATTCTATTAAAATATTACTTTAATTTATTCTATTACCTTTTGTTATATTACATTTTAAAGTGAAACCAGGAGAGGTACCATATCTTTGGAGATCAACTGATGAACAATCATTTCAAGAACTGAAGCGTTATCTTAATAAAATAAAATTCTCTAAATGATGCTAATGATGTTGACTTAATGGTTCAAGGATAACAGGCATTGACACCGAGCACATGGGAGATCATGTAGCAATGTTTTTCCATAGAATATAAAGGCTTTCAAACTTCTACTGTCTTTAATCCTCGCAATTAGGGAAGCTGATTTTTCTCTAGAGAGATGCATTTCATACACTCAATATGTTTTTTCTTTATAAATGACTTCATTTACTGATTTATGCAATATTTTGTTTTGTAGGTACATGATAAATTGACCAAGCACCTATCTGGAATGCAGGCTATACAAG